CTTAGCTTTTTACAGTCGAGCAGTGTAATACTGTGTCACCTGTATACGTGTTGGAAAACACTCTTAGATTTCATTATTTGACCTTGGCTATAGATTTCTTTGTAGTTGTTCTTCTTCGAAGTTGTTTATATATTTCTCTGAGGATTGTTTTTTGTATAATGATAAAGTGACTTAAAAGTGGCAAAAAGAACAGCTTAGTATTGAAATCCATAGTGCTATAATTACTTATAAGAAAAATATTGTTTTAAACTTAAGCTCCTCTCAAATAGCGTACATTCATATGTTTATATCGATCTTTTCAATAAAATAATTGTATCTATAAAAAAAAACTGGTTTTATCTAAAAATTATAAGGTGCTCCAAACTTTTGAGCGGTAATATATCTTTATAAGATATTGTAAGTGAATCTCAAACCTGATGTAATGCTTCCTGTTGAACATGATCTCGTTGGACTGTGACTAATACATCTACAGTGGAACAGCGCATGGACAATCTATCCGCATACCTCAAGATATCATCTCTATCAGCTGAATAAAGGATATGATAATTAAAGATATATATGATAATAAAAGATATATTTTCAATATCACATCAAAGAAAATTGTTAATGTTTAAGTTGGGACATAGGTGTTAAAATAAAATAATTCTAGGTCTCTCCTTTTTCAAAAACCGTTCTGAACTAATATACACTGATGCAATAAATTGGAATTAAATTAACTATTAGGCTTTCCAGCAAGAGACAGTTTAACGCAGTAATCATTTCATCTTTGTTTAACATTACTAAGTAAAGATATAATGATTCACTGTGTGTTACACTGTGTCATCTGTGTCTCTTGCTAGAAAACCACCTGTATTTGTTATTCCAACTTATTTTTTTTGTAAAAAAAAAAAAAAATAAATAACTTCACCAAGTAACCTATATAATGATTTATCCTGTTACCTACAATAAATACTTCTCCATATTTTTTCCACAACTAAAGATGATAATCTTAAAAATACAATAATAAGTTAAAACATATGATATAACGTATGATATTAAATTAATCACAGAACAAAAAACTATTCTCATGTCGAGTAGTATATCTCTCTCCCCTGTTTTTTGCCCTCTTTCTACCATTCCTATTTAAATTAAGCCAAAATATATTGTGGGGTATTCCATTAAATACAATGAATTAAGTCGTCCACTCACGTTCCTCGAGGGTGAAGAGCAAATCATTATTCCTGAGGGTGTCCAAGGTCGTCAGTAGACCATCCTTTTCTTCCATGAGCCTGACGGCATCCTTTCGCAGTTGCTCTACGTGAGCCTCGATGTGATCCAGCAGACCGACTAACCTGTCTTTCGGTTTCTGCTCGTTACTCGGTTGCTCCGCGCTTTCCATGCTGCGTTTCCTCGTCTAGCATCGACTCCCCGGTGAGATGAGACGGCCTAATTGGATCCTCAACGACGTTGATGCAAACGAGATCGCGACAGATCGCGTGCGCACCTGTCCGACTGATCCTGTTAACTCGCGCGACTGCGTCAAGATTGGTTGAGAGAGTTAAAACTAAAACAGGTAATCCGTACACCGATTCGATTATGTTTAACGCTAAACGTTGCGTGTCCTACGTTCCAATCCGCTTGGCTCGACTCTAACGGCTCGACGCGAAGTCATATAAATAAGTACGACGAAAACCGGAAGCGAGAGAGATATCTTACGATTACTGACGATTACAAACACGCGGGATCCGTCTGCGGTCCGTTAATTATTTCCTCTATGTACAAGTTGATATAAATGAGGCAACTGAAAGAATTAATGAATCAAATTTTATATATAAATATCTGTATGTTATTAGATTTGTACCCACTAAGTACCTCAAAATAACTGTATTCGTCGATATTAACCTCTTTTGTCGGAATGTTTCAACCTTTCAAATCGCGAACAACATGTATCCTACTTTACCGATGAAACAGCCGATAAGAATTTAAAATTTTGCATGTAAATGTGTTCTGATAGTTTTGCCCATATCTGTATATATATTATTTCCGGTCACATCTGTATATATATTATTACCCCTTTTTTTTTTTTGAGAAATTATTATGCAGTTTGTCAATTTCCCATTTCGAATTTAATTGCTGATTTGACTTTGGCTTCCAAACTAACCTAAACTGTGATCGCGTCGTATCGTTTCTTTTCTTTTTCCTGAACGAGCGTGCGAAGTCAACGTGCGTTTGAAGTAAGACGTGTCTCTGAATTTATTTTGTATCCATATCGTTTACATGTCATCGTGTACTGTTTTGTAAAACGTAGTCTCGCGTTCGCTCAAAAAAGCACATTGTTTCATATATTTTGAATCGTTTTGTGTTCTGTTAAGTGTTTCTCATTAAATTTTTACTCCATTTCAGGTCCATCTAATTAATAATCGCAACAAAATATGGTGAGTAGGAATATTTACCGTTTAACCTCGACATATTTTGCACGTTTTTGGATACGCATAAAAATTTCACTGTTTTATTTTATTATGTGGGCGTGACAAGCTAGATTTACATCATAACCTCTCTCTTTCAAAACAAGTTTCAAATTGATAAGTGTGTCAAAAATATTTTATTTTCAGCCACGAGAAATCAAAGAGATCAAGGACTTTCTGTTGAAAGCCAGGAGGAAGGATGCTAAATGTAAAATATTTTTATTAATTCAAGAGTTTTTTTCCTTGCGAGTCTTATCTTACATGAACTTATCTTAATTGATTTTTCCTTTCTTTCTTCAGCTGTGAAAATCAAGAAGAACGCAGACAATGTCAAGTTCAAGGTCCGCTGTTCTCGATTTTTGTATACTCTTGTAATCACAGACAAGGAGAAGGCCGAGAAACTCAAGCAGTCCTTACCACCAGGTAAAGCATGATTTTTGTATGTTTAAAATAGACAATCTCTTTATCGTTTGTAACATTCTTAATTGTATTTTTTAAATAATAAATTTACGAGTATCTACTCAAGTTTCAATGCAATATAAATATTTTTTTAGGTTTACAAGTAAAGGAAGTAAAGAGAAGTGAACGTGTGTAAAATGACTAAATAAACAATCTTTTAAACATGAGCCTTTCTTTTAATTTCCTTATGCTAGAGTTATAAGAATTTAATATTGCGTTTCAATGAAGTAGCAATTTACTATTTGTCTTTTTGTTGGGAACATGAATGTCCTGACAGCTCTTTTTTAAAAATATCTCTTGGGGAAAAGATATACAGATGCACTCTTCATATCGCTTATCTTAAAATAATATTGTATAATGGTAGAAAAGCTTGAATTAATAAAAAGAACGATTTTAAACACAATTTTTCCTAATTATAAATTTGCAATACATATCTTCATTGTTGTATAGAATAAATGCGACATTAGTCGAACGTGATAACTTAATTTTCTTTTTAAAGGACACATTTAACAAATGTTCTACCTTTCTTAAACATTAAGTGAATAAAAAGATCAACTTGTATCAATTACATTGCTTAAGAGGAAGAAGCCATGATAGATCCTAAGCCTCTCTTTTATCTAAACATATATGTCAAGCGGGAAAAATTATTCGTTTTCTATTCTTAAACGCTTTCTCTTTATAACTAATTATAAGATTAGAAGTCAGAAATAATATAATTTTTGCCCCTCATGTTATACACTTAAATAATTTTTTCTTCACATTGTACATTCAAATAAACCTATTCTTTTACTACGTCAAAATTTGCGCGCACACACGTTCATTAATATAAATATCTTGAAAACTCTTTAGTCTTTCTGTATTAATAAATATACATGTACGTGTATATGCTGATTAATTTTTGTCTTATTTATACGGACTCTTCACTTTCTCGAAAAAGTATGTGCACACCTTACATACTTTTATTAATAGCAAATTATTCATATTTTGATATATTTCTTTTTGTTTCCCTTTCTTTTTTTCTTGAACCGCCTTCCATTTTTCATTGTAGAACTACGAACTATATATATATATATTTATGTGTATATATATATATATATATATATATGTAAAAAAAATATAAATTTTGTTTGAATAAAATAAAGATTGGGATTTCGATATTCTTCATTCATCACATTCATGGTAAGTTGCCCTGCAAAAAAGTTTTCATTTTTAATACAATGTAATTAGAATACATGATACTGGATATGATAATCGATCAGAAGTAATAAAGTACCTTTGTTTGTCTTTATTACGTTTCGATAATCTCCTTCCACGGGGTTGTGCTGATAATGTGTACCGTTTAGTGTGTACCCGATTTGCTCGGAGTTCCCGCATTTCGGAGGTCTTCGCTTTTTCTAACTTTTCCATAAACTTTGCTATGAGTTCTGGACAATTTAGATTTCTCTCCGGTTCCCATGTGTCGTCAGATACACTGAATCCTTTCCATCTGATTAAAAATTCTTTTGTGCCATTTTTCTTAAAACGTACCTCTATTATTCTTTCGACCTCAAATTCCTTTGAGATCTCTTTTTCCTCTTCACTATCTTCTTCGTCTGAAAGAAAGATATAAAAATGCATAGGATTATTTTCATAATAAATAACATTTCAAGATAGATTACAAATAATGATACAACGTACCAGTTCCTTCCGTTTCTTGGATTTGTTTCTTGGAAGAACTTCTGGAAGATCTTTTAGATTTTTCTGTCTTGGCCGGTTTTGATAATTTAATTTCTTTTTCTTTCTCTTTATCTTTTTCCTCGGCTAAAAAGTCTTCTATCAGCTGAGAACAATTCAAATCCTTTTCATTTTCCCAAGTGTCGTCATTTTCTCCATAACCTACCCATCTCACCAAGAACTGTCGACGGCCTTTAATGGTACGAACATTGATGAGCCTTTCGACCTAAAAAAAAAAAACATATTTTTGACATTTTTAACAAATAAGGAAACAAGTGTTTGATGCGCCTACAATATGCAGAATAAACTTAGTATAAGTAAAAGTAAAAAAAAATTGGTCAATCAGAGTTAATTATTCTTTTCATTCAATTTCTTGCTCTTCTTACACCGCAGCTTACTCTGCATATTACATGTTATAGACAACACATTAGATTTTCAATGTCATAAAAATGGATTCAGTACTGAAACTACTCAAGTAGCTAAATAGCAATTTAATGTGATTAGTTGAATCTAAAGGTAAGAACCAATTACACTCAACTGCTGCTTAGCCGCTTAAGGAAACCTTAAAGCTGTCTGTATTATCAATTCAAGCTGTATTCTAAAATTTACCGCCAGTACTGAATCTATAGTGCACGTGACATAAATTATAATTTTCAGCACTGAGTAAATTTTGGAACAATCTCAGTAGGACTTACACACGTATGATTTATGTGTCGTATTGATTTACATATCACTACACACTACTATATCAATATCGTACGCACACATATATACAAGTTTTTACCTAATCTTTTATATTAAACGTCTAAGCCTAATTTTAAGACCACAATATTATTTATTCATGTAATCCCTAGTTCAAACCAAGATTGTTTTATACATACACAGTATAAAACTTGTATAAAACAAATATTGCGGATCGCAACAGAAATCGATAACAAAACTGTAATTTTCTAACTTTCTTTCGCTTGTGACATAAAGTCGATCGGTTGGGCTACATTATCATTATTGGTTGTATTTTAATTGTGGTAGAAGAATTTTTATTCTCTTTAGAATTTTTATCTCTAATTCCGGTACGACACTATAATTTGGTACGCGAAAAGACTTAACGGTAGTGACTAGGCTGTGGCTTAGGCGGACGCAGAAAAGAATTCTCCCGAAAATTTTATTAACCGTCCCGGGAGACGACACGTTTTGACCAGAGTCTCAGAAATCTAGCGCACGCCAACGCCACGTGCGTTTACTATTATATATCCGATAGCGACAATACCGCGCCTCCCGGACTCGGAAACCGGCGACCTTACAATATATGATGCTCGTCTCACCACTGGTCTCCTGCAGTTGGAAAAAATTTATTTGAAAAATAACTCATAAAACAGACGACTTTAAGATCCCCTTAATGAATAGTTGTTGTATCGCATTATTACCATTAATTATTAATTATTTATTTACATTATGCAGAAATATCTAAAATTCACAGACAATTGAAGTACAATATACAGTAAAAAAATTGTCAAAACTTTAATTATTTTATAAATCTTTATTTTTAGCAATATTTTTTTTTTTTTTCAAATGCAATCAATCAAAAAATTTTTGAATATTCAATAAAATTCGTAAAATGTTCATTAATCCTGTTAACTTCACGTATATGGCGCGCATTTATTTCCGCGCGGTAATATTTGTTGACCGGAAAAAAGGAGCTACGCGATTGGCCGATAATATTCGTCGCAAATAATGTTAAACCTATCCGAAAATCAATTACGCTCGAAAATTAAAATATATTGAGACATAATAAAAAAAAATTCAATTATTTTGTGACAATTTTCAATCGGTAAGTCATTTACTTTCAATTCAAACGTAACTAGCGTTCTACGATGTGAAGATAGGAAAATGTTGCTAGTAAACAACCCGCCATACCTCATATTCGTTCTCAGCGTCCAGCTTGTCGCGGGCCGAGGTGGACGCTCGCTGGTCTTCCTTCTTTCTACGCTTATTCGGTGACTGTTTCTTTTCGCCATTTTCCCGCTCTTTCGGTTCCACCGTAGAATCGTCAGAGTTTACATCGTCGTTCGAGCTCGTCGCCGGCTTCTGCACTGATGTACCGCGCGACGAGCGTCTCTTCGTGGCGGACTTTTGCGCGCTATTGTTCTTAGTCTTACCGGCCTGCGTCTCGTCGTCGTTGTCGTCGTCACTGGCCGCGCGTGCGTCGACATTTTCTTCCGGCTCGCTGTCGCTCGCCAGTTCAGACTTTCTATGCTTGTTCTTCATACCGAGCCGTCGCATAATATCTCACGATATTGTTAGCGTGCAGACTTGGAATCTTGACCGGTCCTACAATTCCTTTGACGACTATCTCTCTTCACTATCACCAATGGCACCACTCGGCCTCTTGCTCCTCCTCCTCCTCCTCCCCTCCTCCTCCTCCTCCTTCACTCCCCTCTTCACCCCCTTGGCGTTTTCTCTCTCGCGTTCCGCTGGCCTTTCCCTCGCTTGCAAGCACCAGCGAGAAGGTAACAGGCCGACGAATCGCTTCCCGCCGCGTCCGAATTACTGCAAGAAATTTTACCCTTGTACTCGGCAACAGTGCGCGCGCATTTCAGCTTTTTACCCACAATGCTTGCGCCTCACGCGAGTACACGCACACCCATACACGTCCGTGTATATTATCGAGAGTACCGGCACAATACAGAATTAACGAATCCTAACGCTCTTCGGGCGGGACTTTCGTGCGCATGCGTCGAATGCGTCATCGATCACGTGACCAACAGACCCGTATCAAGACGCCACGCGGAGGCGTCTATTTTTCGGATCTATTTAAAGAACGGTTAAATTTTGTTACATTTACGTTAATAATACGTAATAAAACGTTACTTATTTTTTTTTCTCATCACGGGGTCTATGACTCATTCTTTATTGCAGCTATTATACTACGTGATTGAAACAATATGTGCGCTCCGCACGTCGAGATAAGCTGCGATAACAATCTGTTCTATTTTTATCTGAAACTACTCGCACATTCTTTCCTCCCTTTCTCTCTAGTTGGAGAAAAAAAAGAGAAAAGATGAAGCGTGCAAACTCGGCTAAAAAGAATAGACCTGATGGCGATCTTTGAGCCGCAGATCGAGTGTAGTTCGGACGAACCGATCAATCTTCACGGTCCTGAGAGATCGATATCATGTACCTTACAAATCCCATTATCATTTTTGACACGTAATTTTAACTACGTCTGTGAAGTACTGTTAGTTTGTCTCTTCGTGTAAGATTAGCTGAAATCGGTAATTTACACACAAAAAAAATCGATTACGGTCAACGAGTCTTCACTCAAGTAGAAAACCATGTTACGATAACAACGAAATTTGCATTAAAATGTACAGTAAATGACTGAAAAGTGACTTTTAGTGAGCATTTTGAAATCATTTTTTTTATTTCGACGTCATGAAAGTTAAAATGATATTTTGTTACAAAATTTGACTTTATTGACTTATTAAGAATTAAATAGTCATTTTGATTTTGTTGATTTTTGTGTTCTTTGAGTTAGGATAGTGAAGACCCTGCAAGTAGCGGGGTTGATTTTCGGATCATCGATTTTAATTATCAATCCCTGTATTCAATTTTAATAAAGCTGTTGTATTACGAATTAGATTTGCTTATTTTTTTAATGCTTCTCACATATAAATGCAAGTTCTGGGTATATTAATTGATTTCTAAATTGACCTACTTTTTTTCTTCTCTCGCACGCGACTTTAGCAATGCACATAGGTTCTTTATCATTGAACTTCTTGCACGGTTTATCATTCCCCTTTCTTTCCGTTGGAGAGAAAAAAAGGAGAAACCGTATACAAAAAGTTCTTAAAAAGAATAACAGACCTATGATTCGACTTGAACGACCTGGTTGTACTTCGTCTGATTTTTTTAACATCAGCGACATGTAATCACTCCTAATATTTATTCGCTTTATCTGCCAATGAGTACTCCTACATTTTTTTTTATGTTGTCGAAACTGACAGAAGTTATATATCGCCTACTGGATTGATTTCCGATTGACTTCCCCTCACCCCCATGATGAGCAGGCCCTGTATTTACGTTCGTTTCAATTACACTCTCTGCACTTTGTTTCTTCTTCTCTCTTCCTTCGAAGCTCAACATATGCATGCTTTCTTTGTTTCCGACGCAAAAAGTACAGGAAAGTGCAGTTGAAACGATGCCCATTTTACTTAAGTGCGTCGCATAAAGCTTGTCGAGAAGACCGTATGACCTTTTTAGCGAATTGGTGAAACTGCTAAATGAATAATGAGTCGCTGTTAATTATAGTTAAAGCGAAATAAAAATTCGCTCAGGGCTCAATCGATTCTAGGCTATAATTCTACTATACCTTCAAGAACGACGTCTCTACCGCTGTCGGGCTTTACGTTAGACGGCCATGTTGATCATGGTTATTACCGGAACACAACAGTGCAGTTTGAATTCGTCATCGAATCGATATATATTAAATGGCGGCACATGAATTTTAGCTGAGTCACGATAACGCAAGGAGACCAATGCGCCCCCCTCTTTAAAAATCATTGCTTTCATAATTAATCGCGGTGTCTTTGTTTTGATATAAGAAATTTGAAAATAAAAAAAACAAAAAACAATTTATTCAAAAGCACTCGAGGCACCCTCTTTCACGTACGTCACTTCAAAGATCGAGTTTGGAGGTCGATTGCGTATCTTGAAACGAGGTGAAATTTACAAAAGTGAGCAAATTCGCTAGATGTATGTGTGTGTACGTGTGTTGATCGAGAAAATGATAAATACTCCAGTAAATTTGTACACTTTTATATTTTTCACCTTGTTTCAAGATAACCGATCCTCTGATCCTAAGAAAAAGTGCTTGAAGAAATATTAATGTTTAAAGAATTCGATTTCGATTCTGTTAATTTTTCCAAGGCATACTTTCGATGGATCGCATTAAATCCTTCAATTGACTTATTGGCAAAATTATTACTGCGGTAAAAAATTTTTTATACATGAATATGTATTAATATGCATAAACAGACATAAATATTCATAAACATGTATATTGTATGATATATGAAATATGTCCATACATGTTCATACATTCCTCTCTTTTGTAAAATTACTTTTTAGTGTAACAGAAATAATAATAGTAATGTGAAAACATAAAAAATAATTAAAGGATAATTTTACACTATTTGTTTCAGAAAAAATCAAGTTTAAAAAAATGTAAAAAAATTATTTATGTATAATATAATTATATATAAAATTACGCATAATTGTGTATGAGCAAATTTTTTTACATTTTTCCAAACTTGTTTTTTACTAAAACGAACAATGAGAAAATTATTCTTGTATGGACACATTTCATACACGATTATACACGTTTATGAATATTTATGTATGTTTATACATATTTCTACATATTCACGTATGAAAAATTTTTTATCGGGCATGACAATATTAATATTAGAAATATCCATATTTTTTACTGACTATAAAAAATATCAAGGATAGATTGTGTGATGAAAATAAAGAAAATGATGAAAAATATTTCAATATAAAGAACACAATTATTAAAAAGTCAAAATATTCCAGAATATCTTTTACATTAGAAACATAATATTAATATAAAAAATAGTAATGATCAATTATAATCAATTATGATCGGTTATACTTCTAGTGTTAAAGAAATATCATTAATGATTTATTAAACTTTGCATTCGTTGTTTGTTCAAAAAGTATGTCGAAATTTCAATAACACACCAATGATTTCGATTGCTTCGCCCGTTCTTTCGCCTTCTCTCGTTGTCCTGACAACGTTGCGATCAAATCGTTTATCCAATTCGCGACTTGTAGAATAATATATCTTTCGCTTCCTTTTCTGTAATCTCCGTTTTCTCGATTTCGTTTTCATTTGTTGGTCGTCAAATGAATTCTCATCATGGCCAAATTCGTGAGTACTTATGAAAAGCCTCTACCTCATATCAGTCTGTCGGACTGGTACACCAAACAATGGGACATTCGACAAAACGCAGACGTCAAAAGATCTGAGGCTTGTCAGTTACGCAATTCGGGCAAAACCACTCGTTCCGAAGGGAACATAACAACGAAATGGGACATCTACATGAACGATGCTCGAATAACGGACAGGTGACTGCGAGTATCTTTGACAAAACACATTTTACAATTAATCTATAGTAAAAATTCAAGCAGACCAAGTCATGATAATGTTAAAATCGTTATTGATTGGAAAATTATTTTTGGCAATCATTTTGAAGCTATTTTGATGTTGTAATAATTTGCTTTGCTTGGGAATAAAGTTGCAATTGATTTCATTCAGTTGCTTTTTGGGAAATATACAACTCCAACATAATATTTTGTCTCGCCAGAGTGTTAGAACTATCGAGATGGAAGGACATCCTCGATGACTTGCTACAAAAATTATTAACCGAGATACGCTTATTAAGTGACGAGAAAGCCAACACACAGAACGAACTTGAAAACATAACTCATCCCCTGCGTATCGCCAGCGAATGCATCTCGATGAGGGACTGCCGTAGAGAAACCGAACTCACGTACGATGAGGCTGATATAGAGTTGAAGAAAGAGCTCCGCTTGATCGGAAATATTCATGAAGAATTTACCAAGAGGTGATCAAGCTGATATATGTCATAGAAAGATAATACATTTCCTTTTCCTCTATTCCATTCTTTTCATCTGCTAGAGCACAGACCGCATGGGAAAAGTTAAATTGCTTGGAAGCCCTTAAATTTAGGCTGAGCTTGGACATAGAGGATAAAAACGAAACCATTAGAATAGACAAGGACAATCTCGAATTAGATCACACTTCTGCAAATATAAGTTACAAACCGAGAACATTAGTCGATAAAACATGGTACAAAATTTCCTTTTCTCCTATATTTGCTGTTTCTGTCCCGCAATCTTTATATCACCAAAATTCATAACTTGTCTCTTTCTATTTCAACAGTTCAATCACGTACGAGGTTTGGCTGGATCGATGTCGTTGTTCCAAGTTGTCTGCCGAAAAAGAATTGTGTGAATCTTACAATTTTCGTGAGGCTACACGTGTAATGAGGGAACATGCACTGAACGATATTAAAGCTCAACAAGACGCAACAGATTACACTTTGAGGAAAAGAATTTATCAAACGCAAAAAGGCAGAAATGAAATGGAGTGGCAGAAGCTCAAGGTATATATGATCGATTATATTTCTTCAATTTTAATAAATTTTCATGAATATATATGAATAAAAATAAATCAAATAATGAATTTGACAAATATCAAATATATGTAAGAATTTGTAAGAATTTGTAAGAATTTGTTCCCATCTGCGTTTTTTAATGTAAATAGACACAGAAGGAAATGGAAATGTTGAGAAATGAGATAACCCAGTTGGAAACAACACTGATGAGTAAAATAGGCGTGGTGAAGTGCGTCGAAACGCGATTGGAAAACCGAATTTATCGGCCTGGTTCGGAACTTTGCAAGGACGAAGTGGAATTAGGCTTGAAGAAGGAAGCCTTGCAATTAAAACAGACTGAAGAAGATCTAATTAAAATGATCGAGCATGCAAAGTATGTACATGTATCTCATATTGCTAATTATTGCTAATTATTAGACTCATCAACTGCATTCAGAAGAAGTAGCTTTGCAACTGTTGTAAGATTCTTTAATACAATTGATTATATATTTACATCCATTTAGAAATTAAGGACAATAACCAAGTTGACCAACTAAAAGTACATTAATTTTACATTCAATATAATACATTGTATTATATAATGGTTATATTGCTGGTAGTAAAATTAATGTTACTTTTAGTTGGCATATACTGGGAGAATTGTATTTAAGAAATCTTATAACGCACACACATGCACTTACCACACACACATTCACAGTTGCAAAGCTGCTTTTTTTTTACTAAATACAGTCATTAAAATTATTTGTCATTTCTTTTTCTTAAGTGCAAGCTTTAAACTTAATTTTCTAGAACAAGCTATAATACTCTGGAAGCTTTGCTTATACGGATCAACAACAATTTGGAAGACAAACAGCATTCTCTGAACACTGACGTTATGTGCCTGGACATGAGAGCACCGCTGAAAACAGGAGACAGAGCGCGTTTACCTAATGAGACAGACCGTAATATCGCATTGACACATATGGAAAAAGAGATTCCGTTGGAATCTTAACACTTACAATACCATGCTCAATTCGATGCCTCATTCCTACCATTATGGATCACTAGAACCCGTTCATGTTTTCATCTATTTAAAATAGTTCAAGAAAATCTTTAAAGTTTCACAAACATACATTCAATTTTCTAGAACAAATGTTTAAACTTCATTTTAGAAAATAAAATGTAGAATAAGTTATAATTATCGAAAAACTCATAAGTCCATTAAGCCCAGCAAACGAGAATGGATTGAAATGAATGGAGCAAACAAGAATGGAATGAAATTTTTTGTTATCCAAATGTATATATTTTAAATAGTAAATATTTTTTTTAGTTGGAATCAATTGGATTCAATTAGATTCAATTGGATACAAGTGAATTGAATAACTGCATTTCCTATTCAAATTTTGAATTTAACAGTATTCACAGTGCACAGAAAAAGCTTATATTATTTTTAGATTGAAAAGCATAAAGATATGCTCCATGCAATTCCTATAAATGAATAAAAATGCATTCAGAATTGAAGTGTTCATTTTAACATTTGTGAATCAATATTTCTGAAAATCTGAATCTAATTCATTTCAATTCATTTCAATCCATTCTCATTTGCTGGGAACCAACTACAGTCGAGTATTCCCCTGTTACAGTCAAACGACAGGGGAATGTTCGACTGTAGTTGGTTCTTATATTCTGATCCGAATTAAATCCTTGATGGAAACTAGGCCACTGTCTTTAATGCTTGTCAGTTTCCATCTTTATTTAGATATATTATGCAAAAAAAAAGAATCTCGATTAAAATTTGATAAATATTAGGAAATATTTGCAATATCGTTTGCAATATCCAGATACAGTGAATGCTAAGGTCACAGTTATTAAGAAGAAGATAACGTGTGCCTTCCATAAGTGACACAATGGATCAGTTGTTTGCTAATGTTAAACAAAGATAACTTGATCGCTATCATACTATGCCATTTGTTAGAAGGCACACGTTATCTTCTTTTTAGTAACTGAATGACGAATTCGATTGGAAGCACTAGTGCACATTGATGCATATTAAAACCGTTCTACACTGATTTCACTTGAATATAAAAATGAAATGCAAATATTTTGAATTAAATAAAATACATATTTTACGTAATAGTACAATAAAACGTATTGAGTATCTCAAGATTTAATAGATTTTTATATTTATGTATAGACATACCTTTAATGTGCACTGAATGCGTCCAATCAAATTCGCTGTAATTAAGAAAAGGCTAACATAACTTTAGCGTTTACCGTATCTGGATCCATGCTATTGCAAGAACTCCCTTTTGTCAGCTTTATAAACCTAATTGAATCTAACCTTACATATAAAAACCTTACCAAATTTCATTTTCCATTTATATCTTGGGAATCATTCTCGTGTATATTTTTGTTTTTTACGAATCCTATTGATTTCTGAAAAGAAAATTTATATTATTTAGAAAAATTATAATTGAGAAAAGATTTATAAATTGATGAAACCCCCCTGACAAAACCATCAATCCAGGCACGGTAAAATCGACTGAAACGACAGACATTTGTCGATAACGTGTTTGAGCCGAGAGTTCCAATTCTCGACGTTAGATGTCGCCAAATCGAAGAGCAGACGGTGCTGCCCTCGGTGTGGCGATGAAATCACGGAAGTGGATGGGGGGAGTGGTAGAAGAGATGGTCAGAAGAGGGCACTAGTGTATCAAAATTGCGACTGCTTACAGAGATATACTATTTCGCATATATTTAAATTACACAACACACAAATTACAGCGTAAACATTATAGACAGACTGTAAGAAGTCGAGAATAGGAGGTGCGTACAAATTTGATTAGCGCGCTTCGGAGCGGGCTCGTCGACTCTATTGCTGCGTATCTGCAAATGAGGTATATTTCACATTTATATATAGTAATCGTAAAGTCGATCCAACACGCAGACAAGCGGGACAATCGCTATCAGTAAGGAGAAGATGAAGGAGAACGAGATGGAAACGAAAAGGAGGAGAAAAGACAAGATATGAGGATGGCGAGATGAAAGAGCTTACACAGCACACTTTATTCGAGAGACATCCTGGGAATGTTCTTAGAATATCCATAGAACATCTTTTAGATGTTTTTAGGAATGCGTCTCATTTTATGCACGACGTATCATTTTATCCTTCTTTAACAATCGGTGAATAAGGATAAAATAATACTCGTGTGCAACACGTGTAAAACGGAACGCATTTCTAGATTTTATCCTTGTTGTTTACCGAATATTAAGGAAGAATAAAATTACGCATCATGCGTTAAGAGAGAAACGCATCCTAGGACATCCCTTAGAAGTTTGTACTTTATGGGAAGGCCCACGGTGTAGGCAATGAAAGAAAGGACAGTAAACGGCGATGACGATAA